TTTGGCACAGGGAATTTTGACATCGACCCAGTTGGTTCTATTTACAACTCAGGTTGAGAATTGCTGATACAAAACATAATCTTTGAATACTTGAGACTCCAGGACTCTCAATATGGTGTCATCCATTTTATTTTGATTGCTAGTCACTTTTGAGTAATAATTTCATAATGAAATATAACTCCCACTAATCTGTTTATAATACTTTTCAATAGAAGATCAGAAAAATTTGTGAAATATACAGACTTTTAGACCCTCACTTTGGAGGTTCTGATTCCATATATTTGTGGTAAATCAAAAGATATACATAAAAATCACCAAAGTGATTCTTGGTTCTTTTTAAATTGTAAAGGTGATGTACAGAGGGGTTACAGTTCCATAAATAATGAGTACATTTCTTGTCCCTCATTTTCTCTCGCTTTCCCTCCCCCTCAAGTTGTAAAGTTCATTTCCAAGAATGTCTTGTGAGTATTGCTGTTGCATTAGTTCACCTTTGTCTTTTGTCTCACCATGACAACAGGGGATAAACCAAAGGGAGAAAATGAAATAAATAACTGCAAACAGTACACTACAAAAAATAAAAACCTATTGGGGCTGGAAAGGCGGCTCAGAGGTAGAGTCCTTGCCTTGCATGCATGAAACCCTGGGTTTGATTCCTTAGCACCACATGAGCAGAAAAAGTTGGAAGTGGCGCTGTGGCTCAAGTGGTAGAGCACTAGCCTTGAGCTGAAGAGCTGTGGGACAGTGCTCAGGCCCAGAGTTCAGGCCCCACGACCAATAAATAAATAAATACTTCTTGTTTTTATATCTTGGAGTTCATTTTGATTAGCGTCATTTTATATGGTCATATGTACATAGCTATCGACCTATTGTGATCCTCTGCTAGGACTAGACATATTATTATAAATGAGGGAAACCATAGAGGCTATGTTTCTTTGGGTCCAGCTTACTTCTTTCCATTTCCTTATGAATGGGGTCATGCCATTCTTTCTGATGGAAGCATAAATTCCATTGTGTATGTATACCACGTTTTCTTGCTCATGCTAAAGAAGTACTATTTTAAAACATCCTTGGAAGTTAAAATAGCGTTGGGTATTTGTTGTTATTTTTGTTTGTCCATCTTGGGGCTTGAACTCTGGGCCTGGGCGCTGTCCCTGAGCTCTTCAGCTCAAGGCAAGCACTTTACCACTTGAGCCACAGAACCACTTCTATTTTTCTGGTGGTTTACTGGATATAGGAGTCTCATGGACTTTCCTGCCTGGGCTGGCTTTGAATTGTGATCCTCAGACCTCAGCCTCCTAAATAGCTAGGAGGTGTGAGCCACTGGTGCCTGGTTAGCTTTGGGTAGTTTTAATAAAGAGCTCCTACTTGGTGGTCTTGCGTTTCAAGAATCTTAGAACAAAAATGGTCTTCAAGCTCAGATTCAAATTCAGGTTAATTTTCTAGAATGAAAATTTTTTAAAAATTGCATGAAATTCTTAGTGAACAATCTCAGTTCTCTGTAGAACGATAATCTTTAAAAATATAAATGTAAAAATATTAAGTGAATCTAAAAACTCCATTTAAAACGGCGAGATAATTTAAGATTGTCACACACACACACACACACACACACACACACACACACACACACACACTCAATCACCCCTAGAAAACTTCCACATTAAAAATCCGAGCCTTGATGCCCTAGTGTTTTACAGGATTAGACAAAACATTTAAGGCATCCAACTATTTTCGGCAAATTTAAGAGCACTTAGGGTAACAAACACTTTCAGGCTTTAGGGTTTTAGTTTAGAGCCGAAAAACTTCTCTACCTCACTTCAACTTCACTGGGAATTTAGGGAAAGAAAATGGATTACTCAAGCTGGAACTACATCAAAATGTCAAGTTAACACATTTTGGCTGGTAACAGTGCCAAGGGATCTAATGTCTGAGTGATCAAGGCAGTAAATTGCCAAATCATTTTAGAGATAATGTCCTTTCCAGAAGGCTGGAGGTTTCTTTTCTTTTTTTTTTTCTAAGCTCCTTCCTATCTGTTTTAACCCAGGCTAACCAAGGCCTGACAAGCTCACATGCATGCAATGAATTGAAACAGCTGCATAGAAACAGCTGCACAGAAAAATGTCAGCACAGAAGTCCATACACACATGAGCATAACCTAGTTATTTCTCCATAATAGCGAATGATGGATTTGGTTTTCTGTAAATGTTCTTTGGGCTTTTGAAGGTTGAATAACTGATATTATATCAACAAATGTGAAACGTGAGTAGACTGGTTACTATTGTTTTTCTTGAAAACCCTCCTGTTTGGTCTTCCCCTGGGAGTACTTGCTCCTCGCACAGTATCCTCCATGATTCTCATATCCAAGACTTGGCCACAGGATGAGTTTAAAACCTAGCTCATTTTAATAATAATATTCATTTATGCAAAAGCTCCATCAGTAGGTTATATTATCAAAGCTTTTAGCGTATAAGACTCCTCAGTGTAGAGGTAAAGCTAAGGTTAGCATACAGAAAGGGCATCAGTAGAAAAAAAGTCAATGGAAGAATGTCTTCCCCAGCATTTGGTGACGATGCCTCTCATCAAGTGGAAACTAGTAGACACAAAATCTTGGAAGCATTAACTCTTAGCTCTCACTCCTGAAGCGTTTGTTCCCACCACTTTCTTGGATTCCACGAGCTCTTCTTTAGCATCTTTCCTGACTAGAGGAGATAATAAAGCTCCCGCAGGGTTTAATCTATTTTGGACTGAGTTTTTAACATTTGTCATCAAAATTCTAACATAGAATAAGATCAACAAGTCTTATACATCATTTTACAAATGAGAAAGCAGAGATAAACTTGCCCACGGCACACATTACAATTGAATTCATCTTTCTTTGCTCTTTAGTCTTTGGGCATACTCTCCCTCAAGAAAAAGTTGGTATTGTTGAGCACCTGGTGATTTTCCTTATTTGTATATGTTGTAAAACTGCTTACTACTCCCCATCACACTCATATTTGGTGTTAAGCATACTTGGGAGAGATTAAGGCATATTAGCCTTTCCTATGCGACTTTGGAGCTACTATTCTATAGCAGTGTATAGCTGCACTACTCAAGATTAATAACCACTATCAATGGTCATTATAGAGATATTATCTATAGATTTTAGATCCAAAGAATACAATTCCCATATTCCAAGAACTGAATTTCTGGTGCTTTGAGCCAAGCAGCTTAGTGTGATTTTAAAAAAATTATTTGGAAGTCTGTTTTATTTCTCAAGTATTTTATCATACCTAACTGGAATTAGTCAGTCATTAATGACAGTAGTAACTTATTTTATCATATATATTGGTATTATTTCTAAGTTTTCTTGTATATTCAAGTGTTTATGATTTAAATATCAGTAACAAAGTCTTTAAATGTTGATTAAACAGAGCAATATGGGAAGTAAAATTAATGTACTTTCAGTAAATTATATTTGCCTTATTTGATTCTAGAATTTCAGTATTTGTTGCCACAGACATGTGCATTAGTGAAACAACACTTTTACAATACTAAAAAACCTTAGGGCAAAACTTTTTTTCTGTTATCAGTAGCAAAAAATTAAATTCATAGGAATAACCACAATAATGCACTAAATTTATAATGGTAACCACAATGCCAAGATGTTGATAGAAAAACCTGTAAAACTGCAAGTCTTACTAAACAGTGGTTTAATCAGGTCTGTATAGTGGCATGGAAAGTTACAACATTCTCATCACAGTATCATACATCTTTACTTCTGCCCTAATTTTCAAGATGTCCCCTGTGGGTAAAGTCCCCATCCTACTGATTTGACAATTGTACACATGGAGTCTGAAGATGTCTGTACTTTTTGGCTTGTCTTCTTGTACTTTGCCAGCTGTTATAGGTACCTGCAAAGCTTAGAATGCAATGTTGCCTTTTTTTTTTTTAAACTAAAGGCTGGTGTTGTACTACTTGAGCCACAGTCCCTGCTTTTTTGGTGGTTAATTGGCAATAGAACTCTCATGGATCCTCAAATATCTGTCTCCTGAATAGCTAGGATTACAGGAATGAGTCATTGGTACCTGGCAATTTTGCCTATTTTGTATTAGACAGCATTTGTGCATGCTGTAAAACTGAAAAGGTTGGAAAGGGTATTACAATGAAAAGCTAACAAGTACCCTTTTAACTCTGATCTTTAACCACCCTATTTAACACCTCAGAGGAAATCAGCTAAGAAACTTGATCCACATATAACACAGAAGACAAATAGTATCTTAACAGGGTAAATTCACACCAGCTTGCTTAGTAGAGACTTTGGAATCAGGATGGGAAAGTATAGCTCCCATAAGCAGATCTATAGAGGATTCACTGTAACCTGGAAAACCACTTGTCATAAAAAACAACCTAATTTAATACTCTTTTGCCTTTCCAAAACACATGATTAGGTTGCATCTGGAAAATAAGATGACTGCTCCTTGACCTAAAGAAGGTAGCACATCAATGTAATTTTATCAATGTAATTTTAATTTGTGCTGTCCTCAAACTACATTTTTCTGCTTTTATAGGCATCATTTCAATGATGATCAATACCTTGAACATGGTTCATTCTCAGCAATACATTTCTCTTTTAACTGATTTGAGTATAAAACTGAATTTAAAAAATTGAGCCAAGGTAGTTAACATGTATATTTAATTTTAATTAATTTGTATCACAGATCGATGTTGACGCATTTTTGTGTGTATGTGTGAGCACCAGTTCTGGGGCTTGAACTCAGGTATCAAGTTCTTGTTTGGCTTTTTCCCTCATTTGAGCTACACCTCCAGTTCCAGATCTTTGCTGAAGATGAGTCTCTCAGATTTGTCTGCTGGACTGGCTTTAAGTTGCAATCCTCAAATAACTGAATAGCTTCTTGAATAGCTAGGATTATAGGCATGAACCATGGATATTTTAATCTAAAAATAGTTACATTAAAAATTTTTTCTAAAAGGGTAATTGAACTGGACAATTTAAAAAATTATTTACAAAACTTTGCTTTATTCAATTAATGAAATTAACCAAAACACAAACTCTATCAAATTTTATTACAATGATCTTTTGTAGAATCAACAAATTTTTAAAAAGTTGGATACTTTAATGTAAAACTACAATGTAAAAATAGAAACTTCAGTTCAAGCAATTAAAGTAAGAGCAATTAAATAGTCCTTTCTAAGGGAGAGAAAAACAATAGCAACTTAGTGGGGCAAAAAACAAAACAAACAAAACCCAGTGATATAGCATGTGCAGAACTGGGAATTTAAATACCAGTCTAGTTTCTCATTGCCAACATGGCATTTATATCCCAGATGAGATTTCGTAATTGATCCATAATTTGCTTCAGCTGTTGATTCTTCTGCTTGAGTTTCTGTGGAAACAAAAGAATTTAGCAAAAATGTTACATGAAACATAGACCAGGAAGTTCGACGAGTAAAGTGTAGTAAGCCATGACTCTAATGACCCAGAGTGCAATTGGGGAAAATAATCCTGTAATGCCGACTGTCTCTACCCTTTTCACTTCCTAAATACTCTGTGACTGGAACCCTGAATTTTAATTCAGCCCAGGACTGTGGCTCGGTGTTATCAATTCTTTCTACTCTTCCACTTTCACTGGAAGTAAATTGTACATTTAATTACAAAAAATGTGGATCTTCCAGGCATGGTGGTACACACTGTTAGTAGCTTGCTCTTGAGCCAGATTCACTGGGTGTTCAGGTATTTGCCCTTCCCTAATATAAATGGATGACAGTGGCCAAATTATTGAAGCTTCCATCAGAAAAATGCAAAGTAATCAAACCTATTTCCTAAGAGTTTTTAGGAGGATTATTATGATTCACAAAGTGTTAAAAGAGCCTGGCATTGTAAGTAACCATTCTGTCAATGTTAATAGTATATGCAGAATGTAAACTGTCGATAAAAAAAGTACAATAAAAATACAGTGTCTCATGCAATTAGTCTTTGAGAAATGGGACAGATGTCACTACTCATAGCATGAAGCAACCATAGCAACCTATTTCTAATTCTCAAAACAGAAATCAAAATGGTCCTGTGCCCAATGCAATAACCTTCACAAGGAAGATTGCTACATGCCTGGAATGCTCATGGCTGTGACTCTGCACCTATATTTCTAGATCTACTAGACTAGGGCTCATAAACTCCTCTAAGCTTCCTTCCTTCAAGTCCTATGAAAATAGATGACACAGATAAAAATAGAGCACTTCTGCATGGAGTGTTTACTAGTTATTACTGGAAATCATTATTCAGTAATGGTTTTGGAAAAATATTTGGAGCAATAATATTTAATTATATTCTTTTAAAGATAGAAATATATATGAATCCCATTACATTTTTTTTCCTTCTTCTTAATATAATTAATTCCTAAAAAATAATGTAAAAGTACCAAAAATAGGTCACTTTAAAGATCAAATTAAAATATAGGCAAACAAAAAAATTAAAATACACCAAACTATAAGGTACTTGGATAGCTTCTCTCAAAGATGCCACTAGGTTTTAAATTAAAAAATTAGCACACAAGTAAAACATCTAGAGTCAAAACACGTTTTGAGACTATCAACAGTGAAGCTGACAGTTATGCTTATTAGTGGTTAAATTGTAAATAAATTTTCATGACATGATATAAGATTTAATATATACAATCTTGCCACTGATTGATTCTAAGGGAGGTTGACAGCTGCTATTTTCAAAATCTATCAGCTGTGCATAATTTGTTACATTAACAGGTGAATATAGAAACAGGAGAATACTTACAAATATGTTTATGCTAAGTCAGACCAGGTAATCTAATATTCATACAAAGGCTGTGACACTTAATCAAACATGTCTTAACTTCTAAATGCAAGGACTCGATTATATGTCACCTGTAAACACTACCATGACATCTTTTAATTTCATTTTACTTTAACAAAATCACTCTAGGCAAAATAAAATTCACTCTTGTGGTTCTAAAGCATATGGTTTTAAACAGGATTTTAGGATTGCAGGAAACATGAGAAAGTGAAAAGTATTTAAAAAAAGCCAAAATCTGTACAATTTCAAGAATAAATTATAGTTAACATCTGAAAATACCCAATTGAGGATAAGGGACATAAGTCTACTTATTTTGCTTATTTAAGAGAAAAAAATATTCATTAGAATATTCTGAACATTTTCATTAAATACAAAATACATATTTTTAGTATAACACAGATCCATATAGCACCTTATTTAATATAATCAAATGCCAATGTATTAAAAAAAACAAGGTGTGTTATTTTTGTTTTTTGTAAAAGTTCATCAAAAGCATGACATGGGAGACTGGGTCTGGTGATACATGCTTGTAATTCCAGATACTTGGGAGATGGAAACTAGGAGGACTGTGGTTCAAGGCTTGTCCAGGAAAAAAGCTAGCAAGATTCTATTTCAACCAATAAGCTAGGTGTGGTGATATGTAACTATAATCCTAGCTATGCAGGAGACTGGCCCCTGCATAGCCTCCTGCATAGCTAGGATTATAGTTGCACACCACCACACCTAGCCTATATATATATATATATATATATATATATTATATATTATATATAATATGTATTATATATATGACCTTCTCCAGAAAAGTCTAGAGCAAAAAGGGCCAGATTCTTCCTAAGTTCCAATCCTACTGATGCCAAGAACCCCTCAAAACATAGACAAACAAAAACCACATGACACGGAAACATACTTCTTTAGTCATAAGTAAAGAATATTTCACCTAAATTCCCTTTAAAAGAAATAATTCCCATAAACATAGAGTTTCGTTTTTTTTTAATCCTGCATTTAAAACAACTCGACTGATTCTTTTCTCTTTGTAATAACCATCAGTTCAATCATATGATAATAAACATTTTCTCCAAAGTTCAAAGCACCTTACACCTGGCTTAATATGAGTATGAGAAAACAAAATCTGAAATACTGACTCATTACATTAATATATACATATATATATACTTTCAGAATATGATTTGGTATACTGAAAAAACAAATGTTTGAGAAAAATACTGTGGTCAGAATACACATGTTTCTTTTTCCCCAGTCCAACAAAATGACAGGAGTGGAATAAAATAGCTGTAAACTTGGAAATGTGATCAGAAAGAAGATGATAGCAGATGTGAGCGGTGGGAAGATCTTAAGATGCAGAAAGGGAGTGTTCCATCACCTCCGGGGAGGTGAATGTAACTAAGGGGATGGCAGGGCAATAGTACTGAGAACAGGGCTGATCCACCATGAAGAACTGTGACTTTACACGTATACTGTCAACAGCAGCATGAAAGACTTCTTCATAAACAAACATCTCCTCTCTCTAGGTTCCCAAACGTCTCTTCTTCTTTCAAGATCTAAGTTAAATTTCTTCATTACTTTCTTTATCTAAATTTAGCAATTTGCTACCATGACTTTTCTTATACTTTGGTTTCTATCATATCTGCAAGAGATACTCTTAACCTGTATAACTTTTACAAAAAGTTCCCATGTTTTAGAAAAATCACTTTCTTTCTTCTTAGTTTTCTTTCAGATTTCCAGTACTTTGGCTTGTTTCATTTTCAACTCTACAATGCATTTAACAGAGAGGCTGTTTTTCTGGCTATTATTATTTCTTCTCTGTCTGCTACAAGCTGAACTACTGTTCCTATATCATCTTTCATATTAGGGCTTTATTTTCCAAAGACTACTTTTTGTTCCTATTTACATAGAATTTTCTATGCTAGACAGGCACTCTGACATTTGAGCTATGCCTCCAGCCCCAAATTCTGTTATTTCTTCATACTTTCAAGAGTTTTTTAGATTTGGGTTCTTCTGCATTAAATCTGCAAAGTAAACAAGAATGGTACTTTTATAATATTTATTGTTTTCCTAAGGATTTACATATTATCTTAATTATCCAAAACTTTTATGTATTTTAATATGGTAGTAATAGATATCATTGATATGATTCCTATGTAGTTAGTATTTCTTGTTACAAAGTGAACAGAATCTTACCATTATAGACTCTAGTGGTTATTCTAATGAATTCTTCCCAGCATTCTAATAGGCTGATGAAAATTATTCTAACTCCTGTGTCCCAACACTGTGTCTTTTCTTACTGTACTTGTTTTAACTTCTCGAGTAATATTAAACATAGTGTGTGAAACATTTTGTTTTATGCCTGCTTTCTTATTTCCAGTGGTGGGGCTTGAAATGGGGCCTGGGCACTATCCCTGAGTTCCTTTTGCTCATTGTTAGTGCTCTACCACTTTATGCCACAGCTCCACTTTCAGTTTTCTGGTGGTTAATTGAAGGTAAAAGTCTCATGCACTTTCCTGTCCTGGCTGGGTTTGATCTGGGATCCTCAGATCTCAGCTTCCAGAGTAGTTAAGATTACAGGTGTGAGCCACCAGCACTCAGCTTATGCTGGGTATTTCTGTCAGCTTTCTTTCAGGGACTGGAGTAGGGTAAGGTTTTCATGACTCTTGCAATTTCTTATTCATGCAATGAGGCGTTCACATTTTCTGTTTGTAAACTTTTATCATTTGCTGCTCCAAATATGGTGTGAGCCAGAAAGGTGAGATCTGAAAGAAAAGTAAATGGGCTGTGACTGAGTGCTTGTGGAGGTGTCCTAAGAGCTACAAGAGCTGCATCAGGTGAATTTTGCAGTCTCTCTCTTCTGACTACTCAGACGACATTTCTGCTTACCTTTAAGCTCTTGGCCATATTCTAACTAGGTTAAGTTTGCCACAAAAACAACTTCATGTGTGATTCTATAACTTAAATTATATTTCTGAGATACATTTGAGTCCAGATCAATTTTCATCAAGAATAATAAACAGACTAAACAGAAAACTCACTTTATTTACTTCAGCAATTTCTCGTCTCTCTTCACTAGCAAAACGGGGTGGGCCTGCCCGATCGTCATTCTTTGAGCCATCTTCTTCCACATATGGAATAAGTTGCTGGGAGTGAAGTAAAATATATGCTCTAAATAGTCCAATTAGACTGGTACAGACAAGACATCAGACTAGGATCACTTTTTATACTTTTGTTTAAAAGTAAATTTGAACTCAGGTGATAGCGGAAATAATAGCTTTAGAAGTTCATCATTTCAGTGCATTCTAGATATTACTCTTCAGGTTTCTTCTGTAAAATAGTACTTGTAACACTAGTTGTCAAATATTAAATAATGCTTTAATTAATCATTTAATCAGTAAGTTTTGAATTTCTAGACATAAAGGATGAGATACTAAAAATACAATATCAAAAAGAAGATTACTGCCCCAATGAACGATAGTCTGTTGGTGTTTTCATCCCTCCTTTTCCTTGACTCGTCCCCAGCCCCAGACAAAGTCAGTCCCAGTTCTGATCTCACAGCTTTGACCATTTCTTTCCAGGATGTGTAGGAGCTTATTCTTTCCCATGTCACTTCTCACATGTTGACTACTCAAAAAGAAGTACTGATCACATAAAATTACTGTTTGTAGTAGCTAAGAGGGCATCTCAGTTTCTCAACTATCTTTGGTGGTGGAACGATACAGTTTGTTAATAAGAAAAGGCCATTTACAGAAACATCATATATACCAGGCTAATCTAACCTGACCTGAGAGAATGCATTTTTGAAATACAGTGATTCCCACTATTTACTTTAAAAAAATCTACTGAAGTATTGATGAAAAATAATATTATCTATAAAACACTTTCATAAAAACCATTTTAACATTATTTTATGATACCATTAAAACTCCTACTTACAATAAAGTACAGATATAATTAAAAGCAGATGCTGACAGCAATGGTAAAATTTCCCACAGACAATAACAATTTTTTTTAAAAAATCACTCAATTCCCCCCATACACAAAAAAATTACTATAATCCTGGGAATCAATTTCTATGAGAAATTATTGTTATTTATTCTTATGCCAATCCCAGAGCTTGAACTCAGGACCTGGGCTTCTTTAGCACAAGGCTAGCAGACTTTCCTACCCAGGCTAGCTTCAAACTGTGATCCTCAGATTTTAGCCTCCCAACTAGCTAGGATTACACGTGTGAGTCACTAGCACCCAGCTGTCTGAGAAATTATTAATATGAAAATAATCCATAGGGCTGGGAAGATGGCTCAGTGGTAGAATGCTTGCCTTGCACGCATGAGGCCCTGGGTTCAATTCCTCAGCACCACATAAGCAGAAAAAAAAAAAAGCCGGAAGTGGCGCTATGGCTCAAGTGGTAGAGCGCTAGCCTTGAGTTGAAGAGCTGAGGGACAGTGCCCTGGCCCAGAGTTCAGGCCCCATGACCGGACCCAAGAAAAAAAAAATAATCCACATACATCACATCTCCATCTTCTCTGTTCAAAACTAAATGTACACATGTGTGGAAATGTCACAATGAAACCCCACCTTGCATAGCTAACGTATACTAAAAAAAAAGTAATACCAATAAAATTCAAAATTAGGCAAATACTGCTAAAAGAGAAGAAAGAGAAAAATAAAGCAACTGTCTGGACAATATTTCACCTCTCCTTGTGTATTCCCTCTCTCATGGAAACTCACCTCTACTGGAATGGGGTCCATTCCTCCACAGTTTTCATTACACTTGTCATAGACCAACCTCAGCTTCCTGAACAGAATAGAGAGCTGGCGAAGGTGATCCTGGAGCTTTGTTAACCGGTCCTGATACGTTCCAGTATGGTAAGTGACACCATTTGGCAGCTTAGCGGGAAAACAAAATAATTTCAAAATATTACAATGCAAATCAAGATTTTTAGAAATAGATTCTGTATTCTCTATATAAATCTAAGCAACAGAAACAATTTTCAACACCATATAAAATCAACTGTTTCTCATAAGCAAATGCAATTAAAAATTTAAAATCAAACAGATAATTCACTATGTATATGTACCCACAATATGTGAAAACTTTAATAGTAATACATGTACATTTTTTAACAAGTTGGCATACATGTTTCATTGCCATGAGTCTTAGAAAAAAAAGTTTCTGATAAGCCTTCCAAACAGTTAAATATTTTTCTTTTCCTTTTAATGTTTAAAATGTAACTTTAAGAAGAATGTATAATTTCAATATTTTTACTGTTACATAAAGGAGACAAACTAGTAAGCTCAACCAGGAAGGTAAAAAATACTTTTTTCTCTAAAAAAGAACTTTTCAGGAGAAAAGGAACTATGCTGTTGTTGCAAAGAATATTTTCAGAATACCTAACTGTAATCATTAAGATGCCCAGAGTATCATTTCAGAGGAAGAGAGGTAGGATATAGAACACACACACACAACACACAACACACACACACACACACACACACACACACACACACACACACACACACACACACACACACACACGCCCAGAGTATCATTTCAGAGGAACAGAGGTAGGATATAGAACACACACACACACAAACACACACACACACACCAAAACAGTTAAATCATCGTATTTACAAATGGCATGAGAAAATACTACTAAAAATAAGAGAATCCACAAGAGGGTACAAAATTAAGAGAAAGAGCACAATAGCCTCACCTTCATCTATTAAAACAAAAAGAAAATAGAAAAGGCTTTACTTACAATTGCAATGAAAAGATACACTAACTAGAAATAAACTTTAAAAACCTCAAGGTTAAAATGAAAACCCCAAATACCTTTTAGGGAAATAAAAAAGGCTAATTTATGGTTTTTGTAAGACTCAAGATCAGGGTGTCAGGTCTTTTGGGGTTGGATGAACCTAATAAAAATGCTAACAGATTTCTCTTTGAACTAAAACCGATTCTAAAATACATGTGGAAAAGTAAACAAGAAAGAGTACCCAGGACTTCTGAATTCTAAAACAAGTATAAACACATTACAGAGCCTCAAAAACTAAGAAAGTGTGGCAATAATACAGAAATAAGAGACTGCTATGGAGAATAAACAAAAATATTCATTGGTAGAGCTACAACTGAAGCACTGGAGGAAGAAATGAATTATTCAATCAACCTTTTAGGCTAGGTGTGGGGGTGCACAGCTGTACTCACAGCATGAGGATCCCTTCTGTTCTAGACACGTTAGATTACAAAGTTGAGACTGTCTTAGAAAAACAAAGCAAGCAAACAAAAAACCCCATAAAGGACAAAACCAAAAACATGTTGGAAAAATAAGGTTAAAGCTATTTCATACTTTGTAATAGGACAGATTCTGTCAGTTGTGAGGTTTGAACTCAGGACCTGAGCACTGTCCCTGAGCTTTATGGTTCAAGGTTTGTTCTCTACCACTTTAAGACACAGTTCCACTTCTGGTTTTCTGGTGGCTAACTGGAGATAAGAGTCTCACAGACTTTCCTGTCCAGGCTTGCTTTGAACCAGGAGTCCCAGGAGTCTCAGATCTCAGCCACCTACCTTGCTAGGATTATAGGCATGACCTACTGGTGCCTTGCATAAAACATTTTAAATGTAAAAACTGAAACAAAATATCACAAAATTCTCCCTCATTTTAGAGGAGGAAGATCTTTCTAATCCTTAAATATTAGTAAATCAACTACTTTAAGTGCTGGGTACCAGGATATTACATTCCTTATAATCCTACTTACTCAGGAGGCTGAGATCTAAGAGTGGAGGTTTGAGCCAACCTGAGTGGACAAATCTGTGAGTCCTATCTCCAGTTAACCAGCAAAAAGTCAGAAATGGAGGCTTGAGTGGTAGAATACCAGCCTTGAGTGAAAAGTTGAGTCAGAGTTCGAGGTGGTGAGGGTTGGGTTTTTAAAAAGAGGTAGACGAGTAAGAACAGCACCACGCATGTGGTATTCAGGTAAGGGGTAGGTTTATTCAGCGTTCAGGCTGGCACCAGGTAATCTTGGTCCTCCACGCGGTGGGGAAAGGCCTGGGAAAGAGAGAGCTGGGAAAGAGAGAGAAAGAGAGGGAGCTGGGGAAAAGAGCTAAGAGAGAGCTAGAAAAGAGAGAAAATAGCTAGAAAAGAGAAGAGCTAGAGAACTAGAAAAGAGCAGAGAGAGAGCTAGAAAAGAGAACGTCTGGGCCTGGGCTAGGCCTTATCTAGGGTATGGGCGGAGAAAGGTGTGTCCATATCAAATTCAGATGTGACCTCAGCGGATGCAGATGTGACCTCTTCCAGGTGTGCCAGTTGCCTAGGTAACGCAGGTAACTGGGTGGAGACTTTGCTGTGAGGAGGGTGGAGTCTGCTCACCATCCAGGGGTGGGCCTTACAGTGAGAAAGCATGGCAAAATCTCCAAGAGTTGCCAAAAAAAAAAAAAGAATAACAGAAAAACGGAATTAGCTAGGCTTGGTAGTATATACACCTGCTGTAATCCCAGCACTAGGGAAGCTGAAAAAGGAAATCCATGAGTTTAAGGCTAGCGTGGGATATACCATGAGACAGGATCACACACATACCACAAAAGAGACTGGAGGAAAAAAAAAAAACACACCAAAAAACTTGTAAGTTGTATCACAGAAAGCAAGTTTCTCTAATCTGTAAATATCTGTAAATATATAAAGGAATACATCCTATAAATTAGGTAAGGAAGGTAAAATGGCCAAATGAGGCAGGAGAGGCAAATAATATCAACCAGCAATTAGCAAGAAACAAATGAGTCATAAATACGTGAAGAAAGGCTCAGACTCAAAGTAGAAGAAATGTAAAGTAGCTATTTTATCTAGCAAGTTAACAAAAATCCAATAGAGTAATACTCTGTGATAGTTAGAGCATAAGAGCATAAACAAGTACAAATTCCATGGAGGAGCATGCATCAAAATTTATCTAACAACATTAAGCATGTAGCTATTTTGAAGTATTTAAGCTACTGGAGCACTTGTACATTGGTATAGTAAATTATTTGCTGTGGCATAATTGTGAGGAATTAAAAGCAGCATAAATGCTCTTGCCAGAGAAGTGATTAAATAAAATTATAGTATTTCAGTATTTTCATGCAGTGGAATATTATACATTTTAAAAAGGGAAAGGGAGTTATTTTTCTGAATAAGTTAAAAATATCAAAATATCATAGAAAATGGATTGTGTAAAAAGTATATACACACATACATACATGTATCACATTTGCTTAACGATAAAAAGAATACCTGGAAGGACATCCCTAACTAGAAATAAGATTTATCAACAACCATTGCCTCTGGAGAGGAATTCAGTACCTTCAATGGTGTATCAATCCATGCAGAGTACTTCAGTGATATAAGGTATCACTGCCTACACCTGTCATGACTCAATGCATCTACATAGGAGATTAACGATAGTAATAATAATAGTCGTAACAATAAAATGCACAACTTAATCCAATCTTTTTTAGTTATGAATCTGTTTATTCACTCCTCCCCTCCTCATTAAGATTATAAACCAAGACTTTAAAATTACCAAACTTCTAGAAGAAAATCTTTTCACTTTGGGTTAGGTATGACATTTTTAGATATCAAAAGTATGATCTGTAAAAGAACAAATCTATATGTGGTATTTCATCAAAACTGAAAGTTCAGTTTCTAAATGATAACGTGAGAGATGGCCACAGAAAAGCAAGAATATATACAATGGCAAGTATGACAGAGAATGTGGAGAAACTAGAACCATCTAGGATTACTAATGGAAATACAAACACTTCGGATAAATTATCTTAAAATGTTAAGCAGACATAACATACAACCCAGCAATTGCATTCCCAAATTGTTTATCCAAAAGAAATTAAAACACATTGTAAACAATCATTCACAGCATTACTGATAATGACCACAAAGTGGAAACAGCCCAAATGTCTACCTAACAGACAAACAGATGTAAAAGTTACGATATACTCATAACAATGAAATACTACTCAGTAATAAAAGAAAACTAACGATCTATTGTCACAGACTGAAAAAAAATCTAGACAAATAAAATAAGACTACTTACTGTGTGGTTCCTCTCACCCAAAATTCTAGAAAATGCAAATTAATTCATGATGTCAGAAAACAGGACTAGCGGTGTACTGGGTGGAAGGCAAAGATTTCACAGGGACAAGAGAAAGCATCCGAGAGGGATGGATTTATTTACGGTTGTGACTGCTGTGACGTTTCACAACTGTATTAGTTTAGCATAGTATATTGTATCTTAGGTGTGAGAGAAAACAGGGAAGACTTATTTTTGTAGAAAGTGGTTAGCAGACCTGAAGACTTTGGGCCGATCCTGTGGAGCTACTTTGCTGGAAAAGTAAGGTTTCTCGAGGGAAGAGGAGGTACATCCAACCTGTCCCCTGCGAGGTACGAAGTTCCTCGCTCCAATCTAGAAGAACGTGGCTTGAATCTTTCAGAAATCCACTCTGGAAAGCATCAACCCCAGACTTGCGGGGGAGCAGACGCAGCCCTGGGGGACACGCGCGTGGAAGTGGGGGCGACCCCGGCTGAAGGCTTCCCAGGCGGTCCCACTGACGACCGCGGGCTCCAGCCCTAGCCCCCCAGACGGCACGCCCCGGCCCCGGCCAGCCCCTCTCCCCGCCCAGACTCCTCCCGCTGCCCCTCCGACCTGCATGTTCCTCAGCAGCTGGAAGATCTCCATGGTGCGGTACACGATGTCCTGGACCGTCTCCTGCCCGATGCGACACAGCGACGCCGTGTTGACCTCCCGGGCGGCCTGCTGAGCCTGAGGCCCGGCGAAGGGCCCCGGCGCCATGCCGGACGCCGCCAACGGAGGGGTGGACATGGCGCGTCCGCGGCCCCAAGACCCCCCCCCGGTGCGGAACGGCAGGGATCGGGGGGGGGGGGGGAGTCCCCAGAAACTAGGCCGCGACGGGCCTCTGCCTGGAAAGGATCTCGAGACACGCGGGCTGCGGATTTCAAAACAGTGAGAGCGACTTCCGTCCTCCGTGACGTGACGCGTCGTCTATACGTCATGGGCACCGCCCACCTGGAGGACCTGGGAACCCTGGCGAACTCGAGCGGGATTGGATAGCACGCCTCAGCAAAGCCAAATTGACGGGTTAAATAGCCAATCATCACTAACGCTCCAGGCAGCGGTGGCCGCACGTGTGGTGGGCGGGGCGGGGCTTTCCCAGAGTGGGTGTTTTGAAATCTCAGCCCGGAGACGGTAGAATTTCCTCCGGACAGTTGAACTCCAGTGTTGGCTTTGGTGCTGAGCATCCTTTCATAACTATGCAGTGAGGTTTGTACTATTATTTTACAGCTAGAAGGGATGCACTGCAAGCGAGTAGTACAGACGAACTGCAATTGAAACAGCAATATTTAAACCTGTGCTTGCAAGAAACCAACTCTCAGATTACATTTGGTCCCTGCTCTTCTGGGTTCCCTCCCTCGCTTAAACTGCTCAACAATGCACACCATAAAAATACATTCCTTTCTTCACCTGACACCCGAGGTAAGTTCTAGGACCTCCACTGGAGGCCTAAAACCGCAGAAAAGACCTCCATATACTCAATGATTTTTCCCCCCTATACATACATGCCTCTGCTAAACTTTAATTTACAAGTTAGGCACAGTAAAAGATTAATTATCATAACTAATAATAGATTATAATTTGCTGTTACAATCTATAATATAGATTATGCATAACAATATATTACAAAAGAATACAGTTTTAAAGTATAACAATACATTGTAAAAGTACAGATTGTAGAATTTCTCATATATTACTTTTGGACTTTGGATTGACATTGGTTAACTGAAACCGTAGAAACAGAAACTTCAAACAAAGAAGGCGTTGGTGGCTCACACATATAATCCTAGGTACTCAGGAGGCTGAGATTTGATGACCATAGGTCAAATCCAGCCCAGGAAGAAAAGTCTGTGAGACTCTTATCTCCAATTAACTACCGAAATGAAGGAAGTGGAGGCAGCTGTGCATAAAAAAGAGTGTATGAGACCCTGAATTCAAGCCCAAGTAATGGCAGAAAGTAAAGCTCTCTCTCTTTCTCAGATAAGGGAGGACTACTGTATTGTTTGATGTTTTATATAACTTTGGTCTGCTTTTCTGACGTCCTCTAACCTTATACACACATCCTAAATTCAAACAGATGAAAAAGAGACTGTCTAGTTTATTCACATAATCTTATTCTCAACATTTAAGAAGCAACATTGAAGGTGCTCAATAAATAATTGTTGGATGAATTCTAGGTGAAATTAAAAAATACAAAAATACCCCCACAAACAAAGCAACAATAAACCCCACTAATCTCCTACTAGTCTTGCACTCAGTTCAAAGACAAAAAGAAGTCAAGAATGTACAAATTGGTAACAGGGACAGAACTACTGCATTTCTGAACATATTCAACACTATATTAGTACAGATTTTTCAGGCCATGGAAAATTTGTTACCGTATGACAAATAGTTACTGAGCACCTACTATGTTCTGAGTGCTTTAAGACTAGAGAGAGAAGTGACAGGCAAAAGAACTCTTCATGCAAACAGTCAGAAACTTAATTGGTATGTTAAGTATTAACACTGCAACAGTGAGCTTTTGCATCTGGAGAAAACACTGAAAAATTCTATGAATTGTTGGAACAAGTGATCAGATTATGTTCTATCTCATAATAGTTTGAAGAATACTTGGGCTGTGGAAACTTTTCCCTCTGACTGCTGCCTGAATGTTCTTGGAGGCTGTTTCTTATATATAGGTTTTTAAAAATGTGATTCCTTCATTTGAATATTAATGGCTTTTTCCATTAAAGAATAAAATGTTATTTTGGAAAATGTTCCCCCAAAACCCCAAAAGTACAAGATTCTGGCATCAAGGTATTAAGACATTGAGAATAACACATAAAGCGAATAAGTTGAAATTTAGAGATAGGTGGCAAAGAAGACTAGATCCTGGAGCTTTTCCTATGAAGGGTTGGGAACATGGAAAGCCAATGGTAACACCTAGGATCTGAAAAAAAATGTTCAGTGTGAGCACAGTGGTTGGGAATAAGACTAAAGACTGGTAAACATTTGGAGGACCTTCTAAGCCAAGTAAAGAAGTTTAGACAAACAGCAAGCCATTGAAAGTTGTCAAGGAGATAGCAGTAACCTGAAATTTATTTGGGGGGGGGGATTTTATTATCCTTAAGTATTGTACAAAGAGATTTTAATTCAACATGTCAGTTTATTATTGCAATACATTTTGATCAGTGTCTCCCCATCATTCTTCCCTAATAACCTGAAATATTCTTTGTGGAAGATAAATTCTGGCTGCTAAATGTAGAATGGTTTTTGAACATATACTGTTCCCTATTCCCTAATAACCTGAAATATTCTTTGTGGAAGATAAATTCTGGCTGCTAAATGTAGAATGGTTTTTGAACATATACTGTTCCCTATTTTCTCCCCAAGGGCAATGCTTTTACTGCTGTTGATCTGAATTACAGAACTTGTCCTTAAATACATACTTCGTAGTGTCTGGAGAATTTGATGTTGCCTGGATTGGGATCATAAGGACAGGAAGAGACCAAGGATGGGACATATTCTGGCCTTAGATAAATAGGTGAAGTTTATGTTATTGACCAAGATTGTGTACACTGAAATAAAAGCAAGTTTTAGAGAAACTAGTCAGTTGTGGGGCCTGGACTCTGGGCCTGGGCACTTCAGCTCAAGGCTAGTGCTCTACCACTTGAGCCACAGTGCCACTTGGGGCTTTTTCTGCATATGTGGTGCTTAAGAATCAAACCCAGGGCCTCATGCATGCAAGCCAAGCACTCTACCACTGAGCCACCTTCCCAGCCCCAAAAAACTGTTCTTTTTTTTTATTGTGAAAATACTGTACAAAGGAGTTACAATTACATGGGCAAGATAACGAGTACATTTCTTATCAAGCATTGTAGCCTCCTCCTTTGTTTCCCCTTCCCATCCCATCCTCCCCCCAACCCCCACCCAACCCTTCCCTCCCCACCAATGTTGTAAAGTTCTTTTTTGACATAATGACTTGTAAGTCTCATTGTTGCAACGGGTCCACCTGTATCCCTATTTAAACGATTTGTTTTTCCCCTTCCCCTCCACAAATTATACCTACATCAAATACAGTGAAAGCAGGAGTTATACTGTGGGGGAGGGACATACAAAGCAACAAAGAAATAATCTTATAAATAAGTTAGAAACAATCACATGAAAGAAACATTTGAATATATATCTTAGGATTCATTTCCCTAACATCAACTTATCTGACCTTTTCTGCTAAAAACTGTTCTTTAAATTAGTTTAATATTAGTTTTCTCTTGCTGCTGTAACAAGTTACCTCAAACACAGTGGCTTATGTAACATAGATGTATTGTTATAGTTTTGTAGCTCAGAAGTCTGAAATGGGCCTCACTGAGCTAATCTCTAGGGGCTGTTATGTTCTGTCCCATTCAGGAGGCTCTTAGGAGGAGTCCATTTCTGTCCTCCAGTTTCTAGAGTTTGTGTTCATTCTTTTGTTTATGAACCCTTTAAATTTCTTTTTTTTCCTATCACTTGTCTAAAATTTTCACTTTATATATTTTTTTTTGTGAAAATACTGTACAGAGGGGTTACACTTACATGGGCAAGATAATGAGTACATTTCTTATCAAGCATTGTAGCCTCCTCTTTTGTTTCCCCTTCCCATCCCTTCCCATCCTCCCCTGCCCACCCACTCAATGCTCCCCACCCCCTCCCCCCCACGAAATAAAGTTCTTTTTCCACATAACGACTTGTACATTTCATTGTTGCAATGGGTCCACCTGTATCCCTATTTAAATGATTTGTTTTTCCCCTTCCCCTCCACAAATTATACTGACATGAAATACAGTGAAAGCAGGGGTTATACTGTGGGGGAGGGACATACAAAGCTACAAAGAAATAATCTTATAAATGTGTTAGAAACAATCACATGAAAGAAAAAAAAACATTTGAATACATATCTTAGGGTTCATTTCGCTAACATCACCTTATCTGACCTTTTCTACTTGACTCAGACATACACTAGATATTGCAAATAAGGGAAACCATGGGACCTATGTTTCTTTGGGCCTGGCTTACTTCACTTAATATAATTTTTTCCAAGCCTTTCCATTTCCTAACAAATGGGCAATGTCATTCTTTCTGATGGAGGCATAGAATTCCATTGTATATATATACCACATTTTCTTGAACCATTCATCTACTGAGGGGCATCTTGGTTGGTTCCATATCTTAGCTATAGTAAATAATGCTGCAATAAACATAGTCGTGCTGGTAGCTTTAGTGTGGTCTTGTTTGTAAACATTTGTGTAAATGCCCAAAAATGGGATTGCTGGGTCATAGGGGAGCTCTATGTGGAGTCTTTTGAGGAACCTCCATACTGCTTTCCAAAGTTGAACCCTTTAAATTTCTTTAACCCAACTTCCTAAAGAGAGGAAGGGGCAGGGAGGAGAACACAGTCATTATATTCAATGCATATCCTATGAAACAGAAAGTTGAAAGAAGGGTTTGGTTTGGGAAGATTGTAGGAGGATGGTGAAAGGGGTGATGTGGATCATGATGCCTTGTACTTATAAACTGACATGTTGAGTGGCAACCCCCTTTGCACAACTAAAAATAATAAAACAGACCAATGTTGGCCTATTGTTTTGTTGCCATGCCACATCTTTCTAAATACCATATATTATTATCTTTAAGTTGTTATACAAAACAGTTGTCTTTCAACAAAGATGTTTATGAATACCATGCATCTGGACCAATGTTACCCCTCCACAACCCTTGTTCTAAGTTCTCTGCCTCTGTTTTCCATATTAAATAACCCTTATGAAACCCTTGTTCTAAGTTCTATGCCTCTGTTTTCCATATTAAGTAACCTTTATGGTTATCCTGGATTCAAGCGATTCAGAATATCTTCTTATTTTGTTAGATGTTTTCCAACTTGTTTCATCAGCT